GCCCTGCTGGGGCTCTGGGCAGCACAAGTCACAGCCGTACGTGGGACACGGGCTGCCCAGCACTCCCACATGCTGCTCGGAGCAACAGCAGTGTGTGCCCGAAGCCAGGGCACAGAGCAAATCCCAGCGCAGGCACTGGGTGCTTGCCAGGGCTACCACGTTGTGCCTGCCTGGAGACAGGGCTCCTCTATGAGGCTAAATAGACAAGGATTTCTTTATTAGGATGTTTTTGATGGGAAATATGCCCATGAAGCACCAGGGCACTGTGGCTTCTGAAGCTCTTCTCGCTACCCTGCATGTCACTGTGGGGGATTTTGTTCCTCTTAAGGCAAACACTTTTTGATCCTGATCTCATTTGCCAGACTTGGAGCACTCCTGGGTAAGGAATACCAAATATGCAAAATTATATAGTGTTTCTACAGTGGTATTACTCATTGAATAGAATCATAGAATCATTAAGGTTGGAGAAGACCTCTAAGATCATCAAGTCCAACTGTCAACCCAACACCACCGTGCCTGCTAAACCATGTCCCAAAGTGCCACATCTACATGTTTTTTGAACACCTCCAGGGATGGTGACTCCACCACTTTCCTGGGCAGCCTGTTCCAATGCCTGACCACTCTTTCAGTAAAGAAATTTTTCCTAATAACCAATCTAAAGTCCTCAGTACCATTCAATGCCCTTGTGCAAAGAAGGTTGTGACAAGGCAAGCTCATGACAGGGGGCTTTGCCCTTGTGGAACTGCAGGATAACCTTTCTGCAGATGTGCCCTTGGGAGATACTCAGAAACTACGGTCTCGTATGTTGGCATGGACAAAAGCTACCTAGAATTTGGATAAAAAGGAAAATGTATTTGCTGAGCCATTCTTGGTAACGCAACAGCTTGTACAGCAGTGTATTTGTTGTCATTGGCCTGGTTTCGGCAGCAGGGTATGTTCAGTTCATATTCAGTCATATAAAAGAACATGAAACATGACATTGTGACCCAAGACCACTGAGCTTCGCCTTATATGTACATCACCTGCTTTCAGTTAGGCTCAATTCAATGAAAATTATTGCCAGTTGTGTTTCATTAGTGCACCAAAAAAAGGGCTGCATTTTTGTTTTCCAGAAAGTTGCTGAATCACACCACTGTGCAGAATACATTCCTCAAATGGCCTCTCTCTAGTGATGCAAGAAAAAAAAAGGCAAACCTGTATCAAAAGATGCAACATGTTTTGTGGGTTAACTGAGGAAAAGTAATACTATCTTTTTTTGATCCCTAATGCTGCAGTGGCTGTGAATTGAAGGGCATAGAGTGTTGCTTTTCTCTTTTACTCCTGCATGACCTGTGCTTAAGTATTTATGTAGCAATCCTAAGACCTGCTCTCGCTCCCCAGGAGACAAATGCTAAAGTATTAGTAGACCTTAGTGCGTGGGGTGAAGAGCTCTTAGTGTAATTTTAATGTATAAATATTGTATACTTTATGCTAGTTCTTAAATTTTTACAGAAACGTAAGTTAGCTGGTGCACACTCTGGTGGCCAGTCTGCCTACAAAGAGAACTCACAAACACAACCCGATCAATAGCGCATGTGTATTTGCCATGTATTGTGCACCATTTTTTCACTTGTAATTGTTATTTTTGAGTTGAGAACACATATACTACTCAGTCAAGCATCTTAGGAAAGTCATTGCTCCCAAATAGGTATTTTTCAGTTGCTAGTCTTTTGATCTCAAAGGCTGAATCTGGCTTTGTCTGATAAGATCCACTTACTGTTAAACTTCTTTGGTCACAGCTCCCTATCTGTTTCAAAAAGAAAAAAAATTAGAAAAAGAAAAAAATCTTATCCTCTCTTTTGTTGGACTATAATAAACATGGTGAGGCAAAGGCTCTTGGTACAGATCTGTGCCATGCTCAGCAAATGCAATTCTGACAAGACCAGGCCCTCTGGCCTTTACAGCCGTACAGATAACTACTGGCTTTCTGGACCTACAACGCAGATATAAGTGAGTTAAAGATTTTTGGAAATTTTTGTGTGTGCACATGTAAATTAGAATAAACATCATGTTCAACGCAGGCACATAGCTGGCAATACTGACAATAACTAAGTCTTTGACACTTCTGTATAGTCCATCATCTGAATGCAGGGTTAGTATTGGTTCTGCTTAACGCTGCTTCTCTTATGCTGTCTGTGGCATACAGTTATGCAGTTTCTAGTCATTCTTTTCGTTCACTGGAAATGCCAGGCTTTTCTTGCTGCATTCTTCCCCCCTGGCTTCTAGGCAGTGCTGTATTACTTCTGCTGTGGGTGTCGGAGGGCGAAGTCCTGCTCAGTTTCCCACCAAGCAAATCTCCGTCCTGCAATGCACAGGGAAGGGGCTGAAGCACCGGGATGCCCCAGCGACCGCGGAAAGGGGAAAATGCTGAGAGATTCTTGACTCCTTGTAGGGCTCGAAGCGCGACCCGGAAGGAGAGGGAAGGAGGGAAAGACGGTCGGTGTGGATCCGCAGCCCACACCCTGTGCGGCCGGGGCTGCCGCTCGGTGGGTGTGGTTCCGCAGCCCCACGCCCTGTGCGGCCGGTGCTGCTGCTGCTCCCCCTGTTCGGAGGGTAGCCCCTCTAGCCCTTGGGACTGCACCCTAAGACATTTTCACCCCTTTCATACCTTTGTCTCTTCTTTCTTCCAGGGTCGCCACTTCAGGTTGAAAACTCCGGCGGGCGCCCTGCTCCCTCTATAGGCTTCCCCGGCTGCCGCTTCCCTGACCCGGCCATCCCGGGAAGCAGAGCCGCACGCAGGCTGCGGAGGCTGGCAAAGACTCTCAAGTGAGACATATTCTGCATTTCTTTTAAATTTAGTGATAATTTTTGTGTGTGTGTGAATGTGTCTATGCGTGTGTATGCATGTGCGCGCGTATATATGCGCATTCTCTAACACCTATATGTTTAGAGCTACTTTTTCTGCAGAAGTCACGTATCGAGCAAGTTTTACTGTTTAGTCTTAGTCTTTTTTAAACCAATGCATGAGCCTCCTGTGCGTGAACTCTCTGCTTGTCCATGGTTTATGACAGCACCCTCCTGACTGCATTCGACCCTTACTGGTGGAAGAGACGCCCTCAGAGCCGGCAGCTCCGTGAACCCCAGCACGCTCCCTCCCCAGTGCCCTCTATCCCAACTGCTTTCTTCTCCACTCTGTCCCAGGGTCCTGCCTCCTCAGTTGCACCAGCACTGGGAGTTCTCGCGTCATTCTGGTAAGAAAAGCAACCTGTATTAAGAAAACCCTGTAAATAGAAAAACATTATTTATAACTTGGATCAGCTCAGTGACCTGATTTACAGCAGAGCCCCAACAGCAGTCGCAGAGCAGCGTGAGGGTGAAGAAGCCGCCGGTGGCGAGGCAGGGATGGGAGGCAGATGTTCCCAAGCTGGCCTTGCAGCTGAAGTTCCCCCCTGTGACACTGCAGCTGCCAGCGAACCTTTGCTCTGGCACAGATGTCAGAGGGAATTCCCCTGCAGTGCCTGAAATAACGCTTTAGGGAAGGACTGACACGTCAGTGAGTTATATATTAACCGTTATAGATGACCTTTCAGAGAAAGTAACAGGGTCACAATCTCACTGAATTACTGATAAAGAAAAATGGCAATTTTTCCATTATGCAGAGCACAGGTATTAACTCCTAGGAAGAGACAGCCCAGCTCTTTCCACTAAATTATACTGTTTTCCATTCTTCCTGCTTTCTTAAATGTGAATACATTGTTCAGATATTTTCAATGCTAAATAAATGCCTCTGACTGTTTCTTGCAGGGAGCTGAGGGGAGAAGGCAGGAAGTGTTTTAACCAAAGTGATGCAGCCATTTCCAAGGAAGCGTCAGAAGAGCAACGTACAAGTTTGCTGGAGATACAGAAAAAAATCATCTTAGCAGTCATTCAGCACCGTGCTCACTTTTCGTTCCCAAGGTCTGACCTTGCTGTGTGTTCAGTGTCATCAGAGATCTGCTGCAATGAAGTTTATGTACTCGTGTCACTTAGGATACAAATGAATTGCTTTAACTTCATCTTAAGCAAAACCCTACCAGAGATGACAAATACGAGTACTATATATCACCAGTTAAATGACGAATGATTGATTTGTCTTTGAAGCTTCTGGTGAAAGCTGAAGCACAGTGGTTAAAGAGAAGATAATGTAAGTTACGTAACACCTCACATATGGAATTGCTAATGCTCTGTTTTTATATGGAATAAATTGCTCTTCAATGCTTATATACATAGAAATAATGAGGATGATTTCATTTGGTGTTCAGTGTGTGCCATGCATATATTCAGGAGATTCAGAAGATTTAAACTTTTTGCCTGAAGATGAGATTTTCACAGAAGAACCTTCCTTTGGTCAATATATTCCACTATTTAAATAAGAAGAAACCCTGGCCATGTTTCAATTCAATTGTTTGGTTTTCAAGAGACATTGTTTTTGACCTTCAAAACCACAAAAATTATCCTTTCTTTAGACCAAAGTATCATCTTTGTGATTTGCAAAAAAAAAAAAAAATCTCAATTTTTTTTTTCAAATAACTTCTTTCTTCAGTAGTAATATATTGGCTTCAAAAATTATATGTTTGGAATTTTATTGTATAGAATTTATGTAGCCAAGGTTTTAAGCAACTTTGCATAATTAATAATATAAACCTAAATCTCTGTGGTCTTTCTATCAGGAACTCAGCTAGACAGGTACTTACAGAGACTCTTTCTGACTCCATCATTATGGGAAGCATACTCTGCACTCCACAAGCTGAAATAAGATGCGATTCAGGTAACAAAAGGCTGGTGATAAATACCAGCCAGCACAGGAGAGTTGAGGGTAGGCCACATTCAGGGCAGGATGTTGCTCAAATGTGTTTGGGGAGGGAAGGACTGACAAGGGGTTGCTTACCCACCCTTTAGAGCTGCTTCATGTGGGTCAGGGTTCTCCTGGGATGTGGAGGCTGCATCGCCTTTCATCCCACTCAGACCTCTTCAAGAAAAAAGAGGCATGAGCAAGGGAGAAGATGAATCATTTTGCCTGAATAGCTGGTGCTGTCGCAGCCAAGCAGGCAACCTGTGACAGAGGAGAAGAGAGGCAACAGGCAAAAAGGGGTAGCCAGGATTAGGTCAAAAGAAAGACTAAGCAAAAGAAGAGGGAGAAACACTGAGAGAAAGGCTTAGCCCAGGGATGAGTGATGCAGAGTTTCTATGAACTTGGTAGAATCCAGGATACAACCATGCTTAGGAATAGTGTGGTGGTTATGTTTGGATGCAAGGGCTTTGTGTGTATACTACCACTGCAGATACTGAGTATCTTTAAGCTGGTGCCAGAGGTCTGTCACATACGTCAATCTTGGAATTGCTGCCAGTTTTCTGAGTACAGCGAGTCCGAATGGTTATTAAATGAAACTGCAGTTAGAAGCGTGAAAAATGAGTTGCACGTAAGTTATACTTGTGTCTGATATTTGGGCTCTAAGAAAAGGGGAAAGAGATGTATGTCTTGCATGTGACAGTTTTGATCAGTCTCTTTAGAATAAAAACTGCTTTCTACTTGCCTGTAAATTAAACTCGCGTCATGATGAAAAGACAGCAACATCAATTTCCACTTGTTGGAAATGTTTTGCATGCAGGCTTTGGCAACATCATTTCTCCTCACAGGATGAAGAGTGTAAGAAATCCCAGCATTACCTGTCAGATAGTTATGCCATCATGCTACTGTATTACACCACCAGGGCGTTGCAAAGAAAGCCTTAAAATGTGGAGCTACCCAAACATAAAAAGGCTTGGGAGTGGCATGTTCTTTACTGTATGCATGACTTCATCACAGAAAGGAAGATTATCGTTAGTAAACTTAAGAAGGTGGAAAGTTGGGAGGAGTTGTTATAAATTTCATTTCAGCAACAATATGATTCAAATAAGAAAAAATACATTATTTTCCTAATCCTCTTTGTTGGTTCTACCTATAACTGTTCCTTTTTATTTCAGAAAAGACAATCACTACAAAAATCAGGATGAACAAATTTCCCACGTATGTGCCAGGGCAACATGAGAAAGTGATGTGCAGAGCAGCTGGTGTGGCTATTCAGGGACCTCGGCAGGGCCATGGCGATCATGCTCCGGGCTGGATGCAGGCGCCTGTGACTGCAGGGCAGAGGAGGGAGCTGCCAGCAGCTGCCAACAGCCAGCTCTGGTGTCATGCTTGTGCACACTATGACTAAAACAATGTCACTGCTGAATACAAAATTCCATCGTTTCTTTCTTGCTTTAATGAGAAGAGCACTGCAGATGTGGGGACAGGGACAAAAGTAGCCAGTATTTCCTCTCCTCTCTTTCTACATGCTGCTCAGCCGTGCTCGTGGGGCACTGGCTAATCCCTCTGGCTTCTGAACTGAGAGAAGAAGATGCTTCTCATCCGAGTAACTAATGAATCACCCCTTTTAGTACATAGCATGCATGACTGCATTGTTAAAAGCAGTCTTAATCACTCACTGAGAAAAATGATATTGATCATTTCTCCCTTTTAGTTGTTAACTGGAAGCCTTGGGAGTTGTGACTCACAGCCTGTGTGCTGCGGCAAGCCCAGAAAGACTTCAGCAGATTTTTAGCTAGTTATAGGAGCCCCATGCATCTTATTCCTCGCATCTTCCTGGTATGGCTGTAATCTGGAAGAATGATAGATTTCTTGGTTTTGTACCTTTGTAGGAATCAATATTCTGCAGTTGGATTTGGCCTGAACTTTACACCAAAGTTCAAAGAAGAGAAGCATTTTTGGTAGGCAGCTGGCTTCTAGCAGGGGATAGGGCAAAAGAACTCATGGGCTGGAGGAAGCCCACCCTCCATTTTGCCTTTAGCTCTGTAGCGGTGTTGGACGAGTCACACATACAGTGGTTAACCCTGGTTTATGAGCATAGGACTGTGTGTCAACAGGACAGTGGAATAAGGAAAAAGAAGTGATAAGAGTAAATTTGGAGGGTTTTGGCAGCTTCCTGGAAAGAGGGTGAATGGGTCTGAGGTGAGAAATAAATTCTGTTGTTGACTAGGAATTGCCAAAGGCAGAGCAAAGTGGACAGATAAAAAGTTTTCAACATGACATGGGAAAAAAATGTAACTGTTGTTGTTTCAAATGAAACAGATGTACTGATAGATGTACTTGTGTATTAATTGCATAAAAAATAGTAGGCTGAAAGATTGTTACCAATGCTGAATTGTCAAGTTTTCAACTGGTGGAGAATGCCAAAGTTAAGGCAGCCTATACCCCTTTAAATCAGTCCTTCTGTGTATGTATGTGTATTATAAGAGTATAATATGGCTGAATTTTGTTACTACATCCAACTTATTTAATTGGATCAGGCTCTCAACTTGTTAATTTCTCCACAAATGCAAAAGAAGCTACAAGGCCTCCATGGAGGAGGGCATGTAAGGGCAGTTCTGTTAGTGAGTGACTGAAGCATGTTTGTTGTTATCAATGCTTTCTGTTAGTTCCCCTGAATAGCCCTTCTCGTTCACCCTGTGCAGAGACTTCCCCACGTGCCTCTCCCATTCTGACAGTACGTGAAATGTTGCTGGTCAGCAGGTCCTCTGCGGTCCCACCACAGCCTTCCTTAGCTGCTGGAAAATGAACTTGGCTTCTGCTGCGAGCAGATGCTTAGGAGGCAGGGGGAAGGGGAAAAAAAGTACCCAAAGAACTAGCGATTGCCGGTGTAATGATTGTGTAACGATGCTGAAAACACATGCATTACAAGACTTCATCACGTTTGAATGTAGCTGGGAGCGAAGATGATGTAAAGCAATGCTGACGTGCTGAGCGGTCAGGGTGGAGAGAGGAAAATTGTTTGCCAGGAGGTGCCTGAATGCTGAACGTAACGAGTCCTCGCCTACGCTGTCTGCTAAGCTTAGGTTGGTGACATGACATCTCAGTGATTTGTTGGGTGCTGTTCCACCATCACAGCTTTTTGTAACAGAAGGCATGACATCCTCAGTCTCCTGCAGCCCGCAGCAAACTGGTCTCTTCAAAGAGACCAAGTTCATTCACAGTGGCTAATGACCTTTACTTTCCTCAGCAGACCTCCCTGGCAGCTCGAGCTCCATTCTTGGGGGCAAAGGACAGAAAACGCTCCTCCCAGGACTGAGTCAATGTAGGATTAGGAGATCCACTTGTGTGCTGCACAGATGTAGCTCAGTATTTTTTATTTGCTGCTGTGAAACATCAGCCATAAAAATACATGTAGTCTACTCATTAAATGCAAATTGCTAAGGACAGTGGGGATAAACAACAACAACAAAATAATCTCCAGATAAATGATATACTAGAACATGCTTCAAAAAGGCACTAGTAATCATCATGGGATTTGCCCTTTGGGCTGTGCTGGTAGAGGTGGAAGTATGGGATGGCCCAGAGATCCTCTGCTTTAGCAGGGATGGCTGGGACACCTTTGCTCCATCAGATGATGGTTTTCTTTCAGCATCTTTGCCTGCACTGGATTGCTGTTTCTCGGGCTGCCATTGCTGCAAAAAGGATTAGGGTCAGCCGTAGGTCTTGGAAATGTCCTTTGGTATGTGGAAAGGAAATGGGATTTATTTTGTGACAGAGTCTCTTCCCCTGGCAGGTCACTTGATGGACGTGGTCACTTGACGGAGGCATGCTGCTGTGGAGGGACAGCCCCTGGGATCTGCCCCTGTGTTGGCTCAGCTCTTGGAGAAGGACATAAACCGCTGCAGAGGAAGCAGATGTTGCCAGTGGTATCACAAAGAAAGAACAGGGAAGAGCACATTTGGGAAGAAGGGTGTGCTAAAGATCCTAGAAAATCTGCATTTGATGGGCTCACGGGAGGACTTGGTGAGAGCAGAGGTGAAGAGGGACCCTTAATGGGGGACAGCTCTGGAGCAAAGCAGAGAAGCCCCGGAGGCCTCCCCAGCCACCACGGGCTGTCAGGGGGGTTCAGGTTTTGTGTGATGACCCTACGGATGCAGAGGAGTATAACTCACAGAGCTGCAAATCCCAGCCATCCTCTGCACTACAGCGACAGGGAGAAATACCAAATAGTAACTGCACAGAGTTCTAGCCTTTACATAGCTTTGTCTCAGTAGGAAATAGCCTGGCCCTTGGCAACTAAAATGGACAGACCTGTTATAATCATCTCTAAATGTTTTTGCGATTCAGAGATGGTTAAGAGTAGCCAGCTCTTGTTCTCTGTAAGTAGGGTAGCAGACATCAGGAAACCAACATCTTTAATAACAAGCTGCGATTTGAATTCCTGACTGCAACTTCAGTTTAAAATCTCTTTAATACTCTTAAAATATATTTCAGGCTAGTAATCTCATTCATGATCAATTTCTGCTCAGATCTGAGAGTACCTTTCGATATTGGCTGTTTGTTACATTCATAAAAATAGTACCGAAACATCCCTGGGTCCTTTATAAACATAAGACTCTAAGATCACTTCAGTAAATCACTTATTACAACTAATTGCCCACCACTTCACTAAACACCTTTCTGTTTCAGGGCCCTTCCTTGCAAACTCCCAGTGAGACCGAGACAGCTCCATGTCTAGTATCCCGATATTTAAAGCATTAGATTGTGACTCTCAATGCATTTTTTTTCTCTTAGAGCCCATCGATGTCTGTAGGCAGGCACAGGTCCCTCTGTGAGACCTCAGAGTGGGACTCTTGCATTGTGCAGCCAGGGGATTCACTCTGCTTCCCACCCTCAGCCAGGTCTGCCGCCGTGGCCTCACACACCTCTCTGACAGGTACAGGTACACGTTATCCGCCTTTCCATGCCAACAGAGTCCCAAGCTGCGCGTCTGCATAACAGGGACCCCAGTCCTTAATGGGAATCAAAAATGAGGACGACTAGAAAAGGTCTGCCCAGTCATGAACTGTGTGTAATGGTTCTTCGCTTCCCTTAGTGCAGACTGGAATATTGATTTCAATGCCTCACTGAGGTGAGCAGTAAAACTTCCACTGTCTGCGAGGGAGCCAGGAGTCCAGCCGTCAACACCTGACACCTATTGGGGGATTTCTCTGAATGCCTTGAACTGAAACACTGACTGCCTGCTCGTTTCTTTTTCTGCCTTGGGCCAGGCTGTTAATAGAATGTCCTGTGCAAATTGGCTGTGGACGTCATGTTGCCGGGCAGCTGAGAAATGATGTAGCAGCAGACGACCCTTGCCTCCTTCCTAAAGACATTTTTAACCTTGTATTTTTGCAGTTACAGTCATGGTCTGTGATTATGCTACAAAGGCTTAAAAAGAAAGGATTTTTATACGAATTGGAGTTGTCCAATTGCCTACCAAGAAAAGCTTTATTATTCACTGTGAGAAATCTCTATATTTGATTAGAAATGTCCAATATGAATAAAATATGCCAACTTCAAAGAGTACACCTGATTATCCATTTCTCGCTCACCCAAATCATCTGGCAAACTCATCAAGAGGTTGTTGGTGGACTAAACACATATTCTAGCCAAGTACTTAACCACTGAGACATTTTGCAGGTTGGATGGTTTTAACTGGTTTTGTAATCTTTAATCTTAAAAAGATCTTTTCTTTAGAAGATTTTTCTTGATTATTTGGTTCAAAATTTTTTTCAGACAGAGATGGCCCATGCTATAGGCTTGTACAATACATAATATCCAGTTTTGGAGGAGCCATTTCAGTATCATTATAATGCCAAGCTCGAAGTAAGGAGTGAACACTTATTTTCTGAGCGTACGTATCACTGGCATTGCTCTTTCCATTACAGCTAACGACCATCTAAGAAAAGACAGGTGTGGAGGCCAGGCTGTGGTTATGTGGCTTTGTAAATCTGGCTTCAGAGTACTTAATGGTGGATTAGAAAAGTTACCAGCACAAACAGTAAAATTGCAGGTCTGATGCAAACTTATCTTACCTAGCAAAACGTGTTAACATTGTTTTGAAGCAATCAATTTCTTCTGGCCAGCTGTATGATGGATTTGGTGGGGTTTTTTTTGCCTGCAATCAACGTACAGTCAGCAGAAAGTATAAAACTGCTTTAACACTATATCCC